ATAATGTGGAAAAGTTTTAGCTAGAGTGATGAACGGGAAACTCGTGCGGCGTAAATTTATGAAAAAACTCGTGTCGAGGAATAATCCGTTCTAATTTCAGCCAAGTCTCGAGAAGAAAAATGGCAATCATATCGGCGTCGGCCCTCTCCCTCCGACAGACGAATTAAGCGCGCAATATTGCCAACGGGAAAATTACTACGGCAGTCGGTGCACTTGAAACAAGGCAGGTAGATGGATGCGAGTATTGGTATGGTATTTGAGTCATGGGCAAAGCGCACGGTTCGTAACAACCAGATTGCGTTTGCTTCTATATGTAGTCGACCGAAGATGATAAATTCGTGGAACTATGCTGAATAACTGTCATTTGCGATGTCTCTTTTTCCTGTAGCTTATCGCGGTAACAAACTGCGCTTTCTTTTGTCGTGTTATTATTGAAATCTTTTGACAAACATTCTGTTTCGTTTTATTTTTTATTGAAGAAGTTCTCTCTAAAATGTCAGTTTAGAATGATATTTCGAAATACAAAAGTTGCGTACATATTCCGTAATTGCATTGAAACAAAGCATTTTCAAAAATAACACGTTGAATAAAATGATTCGAGGCAAGCACCAGACGAAAAGAAAAAGAATAGGATTAGCACAGTCAATGTGTCGTCGTCCGACTGCGCGGAAAACGGTTGGTGGTCGAGTACAGAAAAAAAAAATGAAAGAAGAAAAAGTTTTCTATACGCTGACGTTGCAGCAGAACAGCAGCTGCCAAAAGACAGGACGGGAGGTGTTCGCGTACAATGTCCATCGGGAGGGTCAAGTTGATTTTTTTTTTTGCCATTGCTCTTCCTCTCTTTCTATTTAAATGTCGAGTCTTATTTACGGCGAGGAATCTTGTTTCGCAAATCAAAACGGCTTCTCGATGCGCCGATAAAATAGATTTTAGAAAGATGAAAATATTATTCGGTCTGATTCAGCGCGCGACTTGGTTAGTGAGTTTCGTCCGGACAATTGCATTGTTCGCGGATGCCCGCGTAATTGTTCGCGCTGCTGAATGAACGTATTCCTGTCATTCGCAATAGTTTGTTCAATGCATCTACCCTCAGTTATATCATTGAATATTCAATACAGATTTCATAATTGTCCATTGACGAGTAGCGTAAGGCTCTGAAAGCACTCAATAGTGAAAGCTGTATATCTGCAAATTAAACCATTTCTCCTGTATTTCTTTGATCTCGTAAACCTCCGAAAACCACACAAAACAGTCCATTACTCTTTCTTGTGCAGCAAAGGGAGCTCATTCAATCTAACAAATCACCACTGGTCACTTTCTTTATCCTTTATCCATAGATCTGTATAACGAGGCTTGCAGCGTTAATATTAGACTGTTAAAAGTGCTCGTGTGAAAAAATGCAAATGGAGTAACAAAGAAACTCAATTTGCTGCGTATATGTAGACGCAGAGAGGATTATACGCGACAAAACTCGGTTAGTTTCCATATGCATGAATGCTCTCAGGTACGCATTGCCCCTGAGTTGTCTGAATGAGAAAGAACATACTATGCAAATGATAGATAATATGGATTTCCTTGGATGTATGCTAATGACTCTCCGATGTTTGGCAAGAAATTTTGATTGATTCACGTCGAGATTATTAATCGGAATTTCGGGGAGATGGAATCCTTCGAGGAGGACTTTCAACTTTTTGGAAAATGGATCACGAATGAATGTTAGTAGTTAGGATAAATTTCAATGAGATATAAGGAGATTCTCGGCTCGATCGTTTTATGGTGTTATTTGGATATGAGATCTGTTTTTGATTACTAACATGCTTTAAAAGCTTACAATTTCAATTTCAAATTGCATTCATTTTTATTATTTTAAATAGATTTAAATAAATCATCTTAATGCCTTTTCTTAACGAATATATTTAATATTACCATACTATATTTTTCCACGTTATTTTGGGTGTAATAATTGCAATTACCTAATTTTTAAAGTGTTATATATAAAAAAGATCGTTATATAACATTTATAGCTTGGAAAAAAATGTTTTATCCTAAATTTATAAAATAAGTTTGTGTATTACTTTTTGACGTAACCTTATTATATCCTACTCTTTGTGCCTAGTACCTTTAGTTTTTACTACCAACACTTTTATGCTAAGTGTAAAATATTCCAGTAATTTTTCTAAAGATTGGTCTATTCCATTCATGCAAATAGCTAACCATCAGCTAAATGTAGTTGAAACATGTAACTGCTTAATGTACTTTATCTCATACATTCGAATTTTGCGAATTCCTTACTAACAATAAGCTTATCACCATTATAAGACATGTTTTACTGCTACATTAGTTTTTGGCACTTAATCCATCGTAAGCAGATGCATGGGTACATCTCTAATTGCAAGGCTAACTAAGGTCAACGAAACATAAATTACTAGATAACACCTAATGTATCAAAGGTTACAATCTTTAGCCACTACGTGCTCTTAAATTCTAATTCTGTGCTCTAAAATATATTGCTATACAAGTATCAATATACAATGTATTTGCAAACACACAGTGGGTTGAATACTACTTGCATGATCGACTATGTTCTATGCGTTTATTATTTGCGGAACTGTTTTCGCGGAATTGTGACAGCTATTGAATTGTAGTGCAGCCTATTCTATTATTTTTCAGGCTTACATTTTTCAACCTTGATAAAACTTGCGGCATATCGTGGATATGTAAAAATGAGTGTTTCGGTGTACATTTTTGAGTAAAACTTATTTTTTAAGATACACTCGAAATTTCCAGAATCATAGTTGATTGAAAAGTTAATTTATGCAGCATTGTTATAACGTTAAACAGACAAAATATATACGTACAAACAGCCGCTGCATATATCTGTCAATGAATTATTCGTATTATAACGAAGTGCGAAATCACAAAATACGTATCACGCCCATTGGCATGAGTCGGCTGTGATGACAAACAGATTCATATATGTGTGTACAGAAAAGTCCGGTTAGTATTAGTTTACAGCGTACAGACACACGCACACACTGAATATTAAGTTAGCATTCGATTAACAGCAGCGTACAATTTCTATAGTAAAATTTTTCTAACTGCGAGATAAAATGCGTTAGGAGCAACATACGATGCGCTAAGTTTTAGGAGAGTGAGCTTTCTCAATTGATTTTGTTGGATAAAAGCAGCAATTTGTGACTCCTGCAAGACTTTCTCCTTTCTCATCAGTGATGGTTGTTTTTATTTTTGTGAACAACTTACGGATAATCATCATCATCGCCGCAAACGAGAGCAGAGTTGTCCAAGGAGTTGATGAGAGCGTCGATGGCGTCGGTCGTGTCGCGCGTGACATCGAAACATACAATTTCGTCATATGAAATATGACGCTACGATTAAAAATGTGCACTGCGATGTTTTCGTTCGTTTGGTCTTGCTTTTTTTTACATCACAGAACAATGACAAACAATGAAAACGATAAAGAACATTAATGATTACGCTTGGATAATTATTGTTCTGTCATATTTCCAAGGTAATAATATTTGAACGATTCGTTCTTCTTTCATCGTAGAAGTCGAGAGAGATGCAGAAAAGAAAACATCTTTTCTCAAATTGCTAGGTATAAACTGTCAGCTTGTAAAAATACTAATTAGCAGTGTCATCGAGAGACAATTGAGAGAGAAGCGTGCGCGCGGATATGGCTTGGGGAAAGTTTCTGATCGAACGGGGTCACAGCGATTAAAGCTACATAAAGAAGTAAGAATAGAAAAGGGCGACGAGTCGCTTTCCTTTGGGGACGATGAATATCCTTCTACTGGCTAACGAACTCCCGCCACGACTCCATTGAACATCGCGGCTCGTAAGAAAATAAGGAAACCGTGCTTTGATTCGTGCCAGACTCTCTATCCCGTCACCCCGTCTCTTGCGGCTAATTGCTACTAATTTGACTGCGCCCCTTGTAGTGTTTCGCTCCTCATCATTTTTCCTTTCTCGCTGCATAATGAAAGCGAGACCCTCGAGGAAATAGAGATAAAGCCCCCGGGGAATATGAGCAAATGAACTTCTGCTGCCGCTTGGCTAACTTGAGTACCATTTTTGTATTAAATCTTAGCTTTCAGTCATAAGCGTGAAATATCTGCTGTTCGGTGTAGTTTTGCTCTCCTTCTAATTCCAGAATCGTCTATTGCTAACTTCAGACGCGAGTTTGTTCTTGTACTTGTATAGTATCAAAGTTAACCCAGAGAGATCCAAGACTATTTATGTGCAGAATATTCGTGTGCGGCTATCACTTATGCGCGTTAATGAATATCAATTTCCAAAGAGAAAATCTTATAGAGTATTTCAAATTAAAAGCTTTTAATTCACTCTGTAACTTACTGATATTTTTTATATCCTTGAACTAATTGCAATAGGGCGGCTGTAATTTTTTATCATTTTTGTAACTTCAATTGAGCTTATTCAATATATGTATATTTTATGCATAACGATAGCTTTTTTTAAGCTTAAAAATTTTTTTTTTCGAATATTTAACACGCGCATGGGCAAACTCTTTGATTTACATGGCGTCACAACCGACTTTGTGATTAAGGACGATAAGGATGAATTGATGCCCGATATCGTGTATATATGCGACGTTGGCACTGCCTCGACTATAATTAAAGGTATTTAATTACCATTGGATTTAATTACGACTCTTAAAAACGGACTTGTCTTTCTCTCTTTAGGACGCTTTATTTTTTTGTCTCTCGAGGATTTTTTATTTGAGGTCAACCATTTATGATAACATAGCTCGAATAAACATAATTATCGTTGATGAATTTTTTCTTCGTGCTGCTCTTTTTCATTGAAAGAAGAACGAATGTTATCTTTAACAGCCACAATGAAAAAAAAACAAACTTACATATTTGACCTGTCCATATAGGCACGTTTATTCATATAATTTTCACGTTTTTCATGTATAGCACATTTACCAGATGATCGTATAATGAAAGGCAAGAACTAACCTCCTTGTAATTGTGGATCGCCGAGTTCAACGTAAAATAGTGCATCCTTTTCGTAAGAATCTTCCTCGACAATCGTTAAGTTTATAGCTTTTCTGAAACATAAAATCACAAAAAATATTTAAATGAAATACTTGTCATTGTAAAAAACATCGAAAATAAGATTTCGACGTCAAGCCGAACATTAAAACTTGGAGAAAAATCCGATATGGGGTAACATGGCCCGCATCTTAATTATGAGCGCGGTCGAGTAAAGCATATTTGAGCTAGACTACACCGTAAAGAAAAGGGTTGGGGCGTGGGGGCAGAAAATGGTCAGCTGTCTTAAGTCGCGATAACATTAGTAGCTTAGGACGAAGTTCACGTGTAGCACATTGATTATATTTATTGTTGAACTCCAGAAAATTCACGGCATCAAGCGGCATCAATTGCCTTGATCCATGCATTTATGCGCGAGCGCATCGCGCGTTATCGCGACCGTGACCTGTACCACGATTTTACCACCAACAGTAAAAAAATTATATATTTACATACTTAAAATGTTAATTCAAAAACATTATTTCCGCTCAATCTCATTCCTTCAACACTTATCGAAAACAATTTCTTCGCGGGATAAGTGTGGCGATTTGGAGTTGAGCATCTTAAAGTGAATTTCGATGCGAACGACTCGCGAAGAAAACAGTTGGCCATTACTTTCTAAGATAAACTCTCTCAAACTCGAGTACGAGTTTCTTATCCTCAATTCTTAGCTCCGATGAGAGCGGAGGGCATTGATACTTTTTCGAAAGTAATTCGTCGGAAGTCTTGCTTTAGACATTTCTTACCAAAGGCAGGCATTCAAATTCTCGAGTACAAAAATTGATCTCGTCGGTCGATGTATAGAGTTCATTTTACATTCCTGCAAAAGTTTGACAAAAATACAAGACAGAACAATAAAAGAGAATTATCGTAGGTCTCATTAATTCTCAAATGAAGAACCTTCGATATGATAGCGTTAAGAGTCGTGACTGAATTCTAGTAGCACACAGAGGTGGATCGAATTTCGTTCGTCGCGTTTTCCATCTTCTTCGGGAAGACTTCTCAATCGCAGCGTAAGCCCTATATATAGCGAGAAAAGGAGAGATACGGAGGTTCAAGCAGTGTCAAAGCTTTGCCCTCCTGAATCGTGCAGTGTATAAACGCCGGACGACGCGTCTCGGATGATTTTCCTCGTAGAAGCTTTAATCCGAAGAGGATTCAATTTTCTCCTATCTATTTTTTAAAACTCGTTATTTGTGTGTGTGTGTGTGTGTGTGTGTGTGTGTGTGTGTGTGTGTGTGTGTATGTGCGCGCGCGCGCGAAGGAGGAGATGTCAAGTATCGTAAAATTTTTGGTGCACGAAATTTTAGGGATGCCAAATTTTACGAGCATTAATGTGGAATGTGAAGTGTATACGTTCCACCCCGGGAAAATTGTATAATGGAGAGCTGTTGCTTTTTGGGTCATCTCGTTCGGGTTTATGCTTGGACTTTGGTGGTAGTAAGGGTGATGTGCGTCGCGCATTTTGCAAATTAGAGGACGCGTACTTTGAATTGCAAAATCTAAGAATTTTTGTTTGAAATTGTTTTCATTGTGATGCGAATGACTTTATAATCTTATTGAACGTTTGGCAGCATGCTTGCGTAAATAATGTAGACTACTTTAAAATAAATTATGACACCACAAACAGTGATTAAATGTCTTTCAACTTAGATATTGTAACACATTTTTTTTTAAATTCAATAACAAGAGATGCATCAATTAATTACATATAAAATATACAGCATAAATACTATTGTGTTGTTTAATAAAGTATGATATATAATTGTATGTCATTAAACAATATATAGTTGATAAAATTCTACTCGTTTTACGATTGAATTGATTATAAATAGCAAAGTACTCCTTTATTTTTCACGCACGTCATGCTATTACTAGCGTTAAAATAAAATTCTATTTTGAGCCGAACTTGGAATATCGCAGATGAAGTAATCAATAAAGGAAACAAAAGTGAAGCTTAAATGAAGAAGCAGGCGTAATAAAATAAAAGTATGCCGAAGCCTTGACCCCGGTTTATAAACATGCAGTGCAAGAGAAAAGAACCTCCTAAACAATTTGATCGGCGCGGAGGTATTTACAAGCGCGTGTTGGTGACATTTGTGCAGGTGAGCATGCTAAATTTTCAGCTTGCATACCCACGGCAAAGCCTGCTAAACGTGACGATTAACACGTGATTTTATGCAAGAGCGACCTTATGTACCAGCTGAACGATCGATTTGGTAAATGAGCCATTTGATAGGTCGTTGGCAAGAAATTAATATTGCTTAATAATCCAGATATTTGAAAACGCAAGTAATGCTTTACATATTCTATTTAAAAGATTATTAAATGTGGTTTGTTTCTTACGATAAAATATTAGTACGATAGATATATTGATAGTTGCGATCGTGCATTTTCCTAAAATATTCAGAAAAACTTTAGCATTTTCTTCGTGTGTTTTAGAAAAGCAAAGACATACATAAATATTTTTATATCTTCAAAAATTTGTCGAGAAAATTAAAATCCCTCAAATTTATGCAAAGCAGATAGCGAAAAACTTTATACCATGAATAAAAAAAAGCTCTGAAAGTCAATCGATGGGCTTCCGTGCAGCGAGAGCTTAAAAAAAATTTTCGTATGAATATTATTAATTAGCCATTTACTTTTCTGTCGCAAGAGTACAGATTCTTTACTGTGTATATTGAATTTTTTACCTTCTCGAAACAACGAAAAGGAGTGCTCTTAAAGGGTACGCGAACCGCACGCATATTTAACAAACTTAGGAAAAGTTAATATACGAGGCCAAAGTTTTAAGTCCAAGCTCGCTCGCGCGACCTTTTTGTTTGATGCTCTTATCGATCACAATAGAGCATACTACTATGCTTCGTGTACCATCTCTCTCTCTCTCTCTCTCTCTCTCTCTCTCTCTCTCTCTCTCTCTCTCTCTCTCTCTCTCTCTCTCTCTATCGGTGAAGAATAAAAAACAGAGTAACGGACAAGCGCCATAAAAGACAAATGAATTTCCAAACAAAATGTTTTGATGAATAACAATGGCACATCGTAGGTTTGTTTCCTGGCATGTGTGTTACCGACAGGTTAAGTGCGCACTTGACATGTTTTTCTCGTTTGGCTGCACGTGGGTCACGGTGTTACTGCTGCCGCTGTTATTGGCGCGATACGTCTCCTCGTCGGCATGAAATCCAGAAGCTCACGGGATGAATAATAGCATTAGTAGTGTCGAATGTATGCAAGCTTTTGGGTGCTCTTGCTCCCTCTCTCTTTCCCGAGTCAATCTTTTACACAATATCAAGGTTACACACACGCGCGCGCGCACACGCACTCACACTACTTTTTTTCAAGATAAGTTACGTGTTCTACTTTTCGTTATGTAACAGCTGTTTGAATGTTAACTGTTTATTAATGCGAAACGATTAATACAGATAATATCGTCAATAACCACACTGAGAAAGCACAAAATCCTGAAGTACCGTACGTAAACAATAAAGTTTCACTATCGACATAGAAAATAAAAGGCAGCTGTTCGAGTGCAGACGTGGCCGAGCGATGTTGTGCGGAATATTAAAGGAAACAATAGCAGTAAATATGGCGGCAATGAGCTAGGACCCGTTGCGTACAAGCGCGATTGGGACTCGCAAAGCAAAGCTGAAACACCGCTCCGTTCGACATTGCGTTGCTTCTGGCACGATTGCTACGCGACAGAAATCTACACCCGAAATAGTTGTGGCCAGCAGGAATATACCTCAGTCGGAAGTAGGTAATTTTTATTTATCTCCGTCGAGACTTTCGCTTACGAAGTTCGCTCTCAACGTACATGTATGTTGCACGGTAAATATGACAACGACGGTCTAATCAACATGCTTGCGAGTGTGCGACGTACGCAACGACTCGAATTCACTGGTATTTTTGTTCTCAAGAGCAACTTATCGATTGCTTGTCAGCTCGATTTTCCGATAAAATATAACACTGGAATAAATGTGGGACAAGAATGATCTTTCGAGCACTTGCGCGTGAATGACGCTCATTAGCTTTCAAAGCGCGCGTTTTCTTTTCCTGCCGTGCCTCGAACCACCTCAGAAATCCGAGGTGTTTTGCAATCGCAGCAACAGCTGCACTCCCAACTGCACCGAAGACTCTATTCCAAGCCTGAATTTACACTTTCTGCATCGCTTATTTCCATTTCTCCGCGCCCGCCCTCCCGCGAAGAGCGTGAACTACTGGCCATTATGTGAAGTTCCAGATTAGCCTCGGCTAATGCACTGAACGTGTTCAACTTTTCCAGGAAAGTTATTTTGTTGTTTCGTATGTTAATTTTAAACACACAGATAAGATAAAGCCAAGCTAGAATACAAAAGAAAACGATTATTTACGGTAAATTAATATTTTAAACATTTTCACGAGTGGTTTTATGGGTTAATTACCCAATTATAATTTAATGCTCGCGCGAGGTTGAGGCAAATTACGCGTATATGCGGTCTGCAACCTTGGCTCTAGCTTGTCGAATCATGCAATACTTCAGTTATATAAATGTCAAGATCATAAGGTTTTTCGCGCGCGAGCGAATGGAACAATTCAGGTGTAAAAATAAAAGTCGGGCTTCGGTGAGACGCAAGCTCTTCCAACGTATCGTCAAGTTCACTGTAGCATACCTATCGCAGACGTTCTATCATTTAACGGGTATATATATTATTTATTTACTTGATTTCAAATAAATTGGAAAGGTATTTTCGACAATTCACGTTAAATCAATCCGATGTTCATCCAACGAAACCTCCGTTCCATTCATCGATTCCAGCTGCAAAGCGCCTATCTTTCGCGCAAACACATACCTATTACTTCATCAACGGCTTGATGCATCGAGTGATCTTTAACTCATTGACGTTGGCGACCCAGTGTGCTTTATTCGTCGATCTATACATATACATATCTCGAGCAGTCGTCGACGTGCGCGCATAACACACCAGCTTCGGCCAGATTAACGGCTTTGATGATCACGTAAAACATTTGAGTAGGCTCGAAG